AAACTTTTGTCGGTCTTCGAACGAAGACAGCGATCGTGTGAGTAGGAACGACTGCAATCGCTAACCGGCCACATCTGATTACCCGAATGTGGGGCACAAATTTGCTGTGAGAAGTATTGTTAAGACCAAGGCACACACAGAGATAAAGCCTATGGGGTTGCCGCAAAAAACGCGTATTTATGTACAACCCACAAAAATACTTGCTAACAAAAACGAAAGAGAGATCGCTTAAAGACGGGTGGTGCCACAAGTACCCACTTGAGATCGATCGCAGGAATCACAAATACACAAGTGCAAACTGGAGGAAACGATTTCCGAACCCCATGGACACCATCCAACCTTAAACCAAGCAATTCACTTTCTCTACGCCGTAATAAGAAAATAAGAATAATTTGAACCAAAGCGTACCGGGTAGTGGATTGACATATAGCCATCGAGTGAGTAGTAGAGCATTTCGAGGAAATTCTGCGTATGTGCATAAGTTCACTTTTATCGTATCATCAATATTGGGAGCTAACAGGGGAATATCTCCCGTACTGTTGTTATCCTATAACTCAAAGATTATTGTCCTGGTAAGTGATCGATTGAACCAAAGGCCAATTGAATAGTGAGTGTAAATCGCTGCCATGATGAAACAATGCAGCTAGAATGGATTTCTGATGGCATCAACTGAAAAGAAAATCACTTGTTCATCAGTGTAAGCCCATCTGTATGAAATATTTTTCTGTTCTCTCATTTCGTTCTTCATCAAGTACTCAAAGTGAGTAAAATTGGGAATGATGGACAAAATTATGCATTTTTGTGAACTATATCAAGGGTCTGGTGGAGAGAGAGAAAGGGACCTGTCACTTACCCTGGTTGTAGGTGACAGCTTCGGGAGCCAGAGCGCTGAAATCGGTGAGAAAGTGGATCGGGAGATAAGTGCCAAAATGCATTACACACACACGCGCGCGCGGCCATCTGTGAGCGTGTATGTATAAACCATCAGATTACACAACCCGCTTCAAATCAATTTAGTAGGAGTTTTCGACTCGCAGTGGAATCAACTGTGCACGCTCTACAATTGAACTACCGCGAAATAGGTGAAATAACACATTCCGGATAAAATTTCAAGTGAACTGCAGAAAACCATACGCACTGAAGTCGTTTGAATCTGTGAGCACAAAATGCTATACGATTTGTGGGACAATGCGGGCTTGAGTGACGCCGAGTTTTATCGTCTGTCTTAGGGAACGAGTGTATGCACAACGCCAAAATAAGAAATCACCAAGAACAGGATAACCCCAGGCATAGTGGTTCCACGTGCAAAAGCTGATGATCAAGCAAACTAGGGTCAACTGTGCATATTAAGTGCGTGCGAATAGCGTCATAAAGCAACGGAGTGGCTTGACAGAGCCTAACTGCTCGTGTAATCATGTGCGTCTAGCTTCTAACTTCCGACTGATGGAATGAGAACAAAAAGACACTTACCGGAGATTATCAACTTCTGACTGTCTCTGTCGGATCATAGCTGTGAGCAACCGGTTGTGTTGCGTGGATAATCGAAGCAGTTCTCCGCTCAATCTGTATGAAGGATAGTGGGAAGCGGGCAATCAAGAGGTAAAATATTACCAATTACGATACGAATGATGTGTACAGGTGCATGGGACAAATTTTTCAATACACTTGTTTATACTAATGCGTCTGATAAAGGCGCTAAATGCATTTGAGCAAGGGGATTATTCCATGCTGGTCACACAAACAAGAACGAGTAACGTTTAATAAATTCAAATTCAATTTTGGTGAAGACACATAATGTTCTTTGGGTGCACGCCCTTAGGAACAACATTGGAAGACCAGAACAATTGTTCACCTTTCAGTTTCTTCCCGCTCCTCCTCGATTTGACTGCTCATAACCGCATACCGACGAGAAGGTCGCAAGTGTGCTGTGGTCCCGAACAACGATTGTCCCGTATCCATGTCGACGGTTTTCAGTGAAGGACTGTCTTCATTCAAGTCCTCCGCCAATGGACAGTTACCCAAATTTCCAGTGGAGCGCTGAAACAGGGAACTGCGTTCTGAAGCCCGTGCAAACGAAGCACGACGTCGTGCGGCTGTGTCTGCATCGGTCGGAATAGGCCCAGTGACTGCGGTCTCATTTGGCTGGAGGTAATCAAAACTGAGCGTGCGTTGTCGATCGTTTGAGTGATACGCCATACTCATTGGTCGAACACGGGAACGTAACGGTGTGTTCGGCTCAAACTGATCCTGGGATTGAGTGAGTGCTTTTCGAGACAACAGTTCATCGCGAACCTGGGAACTTCCACCCCCGCCACGGACAGCGAATGTGCGATGTCGACGAAGCGGTAAGACACGACCTTCCGGAAGCATTCCATCTAACCCCGGGTGACGTACATCTCCATATTCGTCCAGGGCTAGAGTAGATAAATGTGTGTGTATACCAGAGAAAGAGGGAGATAAGAACAACAACATCAGAGCCTATTCTACTTTCTATTTTACGATTTCCATCATTCTTTTTTATTCGCCTTATTGATGTACTGTGAGTTTGCGTTGCGATCGTGACAATGAGTCCCGGAGTTTGCGGCGCTGTCTACAATGACGCATAGGCACCAAATTTGATTATACTACGTTTTCATGGTCCTCATCACTTTCGAGAGGTGAAACGTAAATGAATGCAACGAGAAAATAAAAAGCAACAATCGATTCATTTCAAGCACACAGCTAACAAGGATGAAAAGCATCCCCGATCAAGTGTTGGAAATTCAATTGTTTTTCTAATCTCTACGTCATTCCTGTATTCACATTACACTGATTGATACAATGCTGGACTCGGGCATTGAGATTCAGGTCGGATTACCAAACAACCGATAAGACAGAATTGGTCTAATTACCTGTTTGATTCTGAATCATGGGGTTATATGTAGACTTCGTGTGATTCCACACGCCAAGAGTGACGTTGTCCGGTGCTCTAGAAACGAACAACGGACCCTAGAGGTCTTTCAAAGTAAGGCTTTTAACAGAAAGAAGTCATTAAAGAAATTCAAATGCTTTTCTGCATTCTTATCGGATCGCAGATTCCAAGGTTAGTTCAGTAAGTGCGATTGAGTGCAAGTTTTGCACAACTATTTTGTTTACTTACCGGTCAAATTGTTCACAGCCACGGCGACCGCGTCTCCGATCAGTTTGTGCCAGGCGAGCAACTCATGGGGACGTGAGAGTTGTGCGCACAATGGTTTTTCAAACGCGGCCCACATCATCAGACAGGCTATGCGTATGAATTCGAACAACAGAGGTGAATTGGGAAGGGACACGGTGCCCGGCAAACCGCCTTGATACTGCTCGATT